AAAAAAGTGTTTTGCATTGTGAAAGGACTTTATGTAGTTTATCTCACGTTATCTTGTCAAATCTCTCAGAAGGGGTGTAGTGTCTATATTATTATTACTCCCCCATTTTAATGACAGGTAAACTGAGGCTGTTTATGTGATCTGTCCATGTTTATACAGTGAAGGTACAATAGAGAAGGGATTGGGACCCAAGTCTCTCTGCCTTTACATGCTAGGAGTTTTCTATAGAGCATGTTATTCACCTTTATACAGATTCAATGTAATCACACTGTGTGGCCTTGATTCAAGTCTTACTGGCAGATGCAGGAAACCCTGGATCAGTTGAGGAATTAGTACTTAATGATCCACCCTCCATCCAGGCCTCTGAGAGTTAAGGAAGTGCAAAAGGGCAACAAGCCCTTGGTTTATGATGTGTCTCTAGCTGAAGGCATCATTTGCAGGACTAGAAAAGCTCCAGATGATAACTACCTAGGAGACAACTGAGCCATCAGGGTAGCCACCTGGCAACGCGCTGCTATCAGAGGTGGCTCCCATGGCTATCGCCAATAAGGAAGTGACAACTCTTGTCTCTTAGAGAAAGACTGGAGTTCTAAAGGTGGTTGGCTTCCCTGAAGGAAGAAATATTTTCCCATACTACCCTGCCAAGGTCAGGTGATGTCTAGCCCACCACTGGTATTATGACTTCCAGGAGAGAATGTGTCTAGGGAATCCCGAGTCTCCTCTAGACAGGTTACAAGTACCGGGGTAAAGTCAGGTGCATTTGGTTGATGGCTGGGACAGCTTGCCTCTCCCTTGTAAATCTATCTGAATTGCTCATCAGCTTTCCCTAAGCAGGGGGGTGGAAGTGCCCTAGTTTACCCGTCTGTACTCAGTCACTCACAAGGTCGACTCAAAATTGCTTGCAAAGAATAGGGCATAGAACTGACTAGAATTATGCTACTATATATGCTATGAATATACAATATATACATGAGACATGCACATATTTACACTATACACACAGCCAACACAAGATTGACTCAAGCAGCTTTGTAGACTTGGCCCCGGTGTATTTTTATAGTGTCGTGTTCATTGGTCATACTCATGACATAGAAGCCTTGCAAGAATCTCATGGTCTTTCTGAATCATCAAAAAAAAAAAAAAGAAAAGAGTACTATGTTCACTCTAACTTTCTACGAATGTTTCTGGGTGTTTTTTTGGAGGGTGGGGTGGGGGCAGGATCTCATTTTGTAGCCTAGGCTGGTTTTGAATTTGTAATCCTCCTACACCAGCCTCCTGGGTGTTGTGATCACAGACATGAATCACCACACTCAGCTTGCTGGCTTATATGTACATGAAAACTGGTAATGTCTGCATATACATATAGACATACATATGTGTATACAAAATAAGACGATTCAGTGCAGCACAGTAAACTGTTTCTAAACATGTTAGAAAATGTAGAGTGAGTTTCTCTAACTGATATCCTAAAGGGGATTTCCAAAGGCTTAATTTCTTAGGTTACCCAGCAGAAACAGGGACCTCAGGGCTGGGAAGAGATGGAAGCTGTCTGTGTGTATGCATGTAGGTGCATGGGTACCATCATGTGCATGGTGGGGGTTGGCTCTCTCCTTCCACCATGTGGGTCCTGGGGATTGAACTTAGGTCTTCAATCTTGGTGGCGTGTGCCTGTACTGAGCCATCTTGCTGGCCCTGCTTCTGGATTTCTTGCCACTTCAGTGGGTCTTTGGCTCTCAAATGCAGGTGCTATTAGGGCTGCTGCATTCGTTCGATGTAAATGACAAGCGACTTACTGTTCTGTCATCATACCTGAACCATCTGCCATCTTTTCCCCACTAGACTGTAAGCTATGTGAAGGCAACCACCAAAAGGATCACAGCTGTCATGCCCAGCTGTATTCCCAATGTCTGTCTCATGGCGGGTCCTTGAGAAACATCTGTTTAGCAAATAAGGGAAATGTTTGCTTTGGTCAAGTGCTGTGAGGGAGTGGATTCCTTCCCTACTATCCTCCCGTTCTCCTGTTTTTCCAGGTTTGCAAAGAAGCGGTGCTTCCTGCCCCTGGTGCAGGGTTAACAACATCCTTTTGGCCTGGTAGACTGAGACCTGAGCTTGGCTAGTTAGGAGTCAACAGCTTCTGTGAGGCCAGACTTTTTCCTCCTTTCCACAGAGACCGTGGCCTGAGGGGATTTTTGACTTTGGTGCCTGGGAAAAGCCCAGCCCAAGCTGTGAGAACACCTCTTCTTTCCATAGCCCTGGTGTTGAGGCAGACCTTGAACTTGCAATCTTTGTGCCTCAACCTTCAAAGAAGCTGGGATTATGTGCCTTTACCCCTGGGCATGGCTAGATGCCTCTCCGCTACAGCCTTTGCTAAAGGACCATGGTGGGCACTGGAACTTCTGTTCTAGAATGTAAGTGTGAGCCCATAGAAGAAAACCACCTCAGCTTTGGAAGGTCATTGTAAAGGTCTCCAAGGCCAAGAAGGAACTATGAATCCACTACAACTTGAGCTGAAGTCCTCAGTGGTACTCTTCTCTTCTTAGAGAGCACAAGAAAAGATGTGCAGATCAGCCTGGCATTTGTTGAATTGGGGTCAAACCAGGAGGGTCACTTAGCAAGAACACTGTCAGTTCTTGCTATCAACCTGACACCTAGCCGTTCAGAAGGTCAAGAAACTGGCTCCAAACGCCTGCCCAGTCTCCATGGAGGTGCTATCCAGCTCAAGTTCCTAGCTTTCTGGTCCGAAGAAAGAGGAACAGAGCTTTTCTATTTGCTTCTGCCTCTGAGCTACCTCTTTCCATTCTAAGGAGGAACATGGTAAAGCTGCGGGGCCACAGCGGCTCCTTATGGAGACACAGGCCCATTTGCTAGGGAAGTCCTGAACTTCCGCCACTCTGCAGCTGTGCAAGGAGCTTCTCAGTAATTGCAGGCTTGGAGATGGGGTGGGAAAGTCATGCCTAGCTTCAAGAGACTCCAGGAAAGCAGACCCGGCTTTGACAGAGCAACAGGGAAGACACATGGAAGATGCTCAGTAAGGCCGAAGGGACATGTGCAGCCTGTGTTCTGGCCCTGGTGCCACAGTCTCCATAGTAAGGGAAATATTGGCAACCAGCATTAGCTAGGGTGCTGATGGCATGGCAGATAATTGTTCCACAGAGCGGGACTGCATAACCATGCCGACTGCCCTCTCAGAAGGGAGAAACCTGGACCGCTTTCACTATTCCACCCGGTCCGGCCTCGACTGGCCCCAGGTTCATCCTTCTGCCTTATCCTTTCCTTCGTCCCTTCCCCTCCTGCTCAGTAAGAGGCACAGTTTACTTGGATGCAATTAGCCAGAAGAGGGCCACAGGTGACAATGAGAATGTGAACAATAGTTTTTTTTTTCCCAACATCTGACCATCTGTGTAGAAGTTTGAAAAGCCCAGACACTTCTTGGAGCTAGTCATCTGGAGGCAGGCAAACTCTCGCCCCCAGTTTCTTCCTGCTCCAACTCAGTTCCTTTCATCTATGATGTGGACAGCAGTTTCTTTGGGACCAACAATCCTCTCCCAAATCTGCATGTGATGAGCTGCCTTTCAACTGCTGTGAACAGTGACCTGAGATTGAAAGCTGGACCTGCTATGCGTGCCGTAAACTTGTTTGTGCTAAAGAGCAATGTTTAAAGTGGGTGAGAATGAGCCCTCTAGGAGCTGGGTCACCTGCCAAGAGTGTGTTTCTATTCTCAGATACCATGATCTCCAGCAGGTGCAGTGACCCCAAACCAAGAAGGTTTGAAGGTTTAATAGCGGTCAAGTGGCAAGGGTGAATGGAGACAGTGTCCAGTTTATGGCAAGGGTGAGCTCTGCGCGCTGCTTATGTTCTGACAGTGATGCTTGGGCCAGGAAGACTTACTGTGCATAGGTAAGCAAGCCTCAGATCTAACACATGGAGGGCCCAGCTCTCTGTCACCCTCTGCTCCTCCCACTTGTTTTGAGCAGGAGCACCTGGGCTGGACAGCTTTTTTGTTTCAAGGCCTCTGTACCATCACCAGAACATCTCTGAGAAGTAGCCATACTAGATTGCCTAACTGGGACACCTGCTTAGAAGCTGCATTTGTTCTTTATGGACCTCCCCTTCTATTTCCAAGACTTCTTTTGGGCATGCCCAGTCTCCCCTACTCCCAGCCTTCAGTGATTTCGTATTCCAGATACTTCTGTCAATCCGCAATATGATGAACAAAAAGGAAGGTCTTATTTTCATTTTCAACGTTATTTCAATGAAGCCGGAAGAGGCACAAATCTCTCCTAGATTACTAAAGCTGTGTCTTAGAGTCAATCTAATCCTTTTCGAGAAAGCTTTTTTTTTTTTTAATGTAGTCTTGGCTGGCCTTGAACTCTTTCTGCCTCTGCCTCCTCAGTAGCTGGCATTACAATCATGTACCATTACACATATGTGCTATCATACCTGGCCAGTGCAATTCTTTTTTAAAAAAATATTTTTATTTTATGTACATTGGTATTTTGCCTGCTTGTATGTCTGTGTGAGAAAGTCGAATCCCCTGGAACTGTAGTTACAGACAGATGTGAGCTGCCATGTGGGTGCTGGAATTAATCCTGGGTCCTTTGGAAGAGCAGCAAGTGCTTTTAACTACTGAGCCATCTCTCTAGTCCCTCAGTGCAATTTTTTGATTGACTGTATCATGTTATTACCGCTTTCATCTTACATACATCCACGGACTCAACCACAGTGTGTCGTCAATGGCATCCTTTGTGGAATAGGTACATGTGAATGTTATATGTGCTTGCCAGTGAGGTGTGTCAGTAGTGTGTGTGTGTGTGTGTGTGTGTGTGTGTGTGTGTGTGTGCTATCCTTCTGGCTGTTGCTAAGCAGGCTGGCACTGGTGGCACATGCTGTACACTAGGGCGGTGGCAGCCCCCCCTCCATGACTTCAGAGTCCGGAGGGCCTCAGACACACCAAAACCCAAACCCAAAACCAAAACCAAAAAACTGATGCGGAACCCTACCTGCTTTGACCATAGGAGGTGGAAGAGGCTGGTTGGCAGGCCTGGAGAAGACCATCTTCCTGGAATCCAGCAGAAGGCGGCAGTACCCCGCAATCAGGCAGGCAAAGTTGGTGGCTTCAGGCCACTCCATCAACAGCACCAGAGGCTGTGGAAGAGATGGTTCAAAACATAAGGACATGGAAAGGCAGGAGAGAGGCGAGAGAGAGAGGCAGGTGCAATTCTGGGAGGACAGCAACAAAGAAAAGACACGGAGTAGTTACAGGAAGTGCATTCCAAACCCTCCTCGAGGTCCATGGCCAGGCAGTTTCTTCTGTCACGAACATTCCTTTGTAGTAATGGCTTCTCTAGGCGTCAGCATTAAAGAAGCCTTCGCTCACACATTTAATGAACCACCTTTACTGAAAAACACTAGAATTATGTAAGACCATGTGACTGCTGTGTGGCTGTATTTGCGTTTGTCAGAGCTCAGCAGATGTGTGGGCCAGCTGGGAGAGTGGGGGTGAAACTGGGAATCTAGGCTAGGCTGAGGGATGGCCTGGAATATCCTTGAATGTAAGCACCTTGGCTGCTTGAAGTATCCTTTGCTCCTCTCCATATGCCCTGACAACATCCAGACGAGTCCATAGGAGTCCTAACTGTGACTTTAGGGACAAAACCTTTCTGCTCCAAGTCCTGCTTGGGCCTTCCTGATCTCCCCTCTATTTCCTGTATTTTCCAAAGTAGCCTGAAAATGTCCACTGGTTTTTCTTTTCTTTTCTTGGACATACATTTTTCACTCTGTAGCTCTGGCTAGTCTGGAATTCACTTTGTAGCCCAGGCTGGCCTCAGACTCATAGCAATCCTCTCTTTGTCTTATGAATGATGGAATTACATGCATGAGCCGCCATGACAGTTTATTCATCTTCCTTCCTTCCTTCCTTCCCTCCTTTTCTTTTCTTTTTTTTAGACACAGTATCTCTGACTGTCTTGGAACTCACTCTGTAGACCTGGCTAGCCTTGAACTCTGCCTAGGATTAAAGGCTCGTGGCTGTTTATTGGTGTTTCTTCAAAGAGCCCCGTGGTCTGGAGCTAAGGGTGGAAAGTTAAACAAGCGCTGCAGATAAATGTCGCTCTGGAAATTCTAAGATCCTATGATATATTAACCAACATATTCCATGAAATATCAAAGATTTTAGTATTTCAGATTCATTTGACCTCAAAGATCTTTTTTTTTCTTACAAAAAATTTCATACCGACAGCATTCTTGTTATTATTATTTTTTTCAATGGAATCTAGGACCTTGTTCATTCTGGGCAAAGACTCTACAATCAAACTACTCCCCCCGCCCCATTTGTTGCTGTTTTTAAACCTTACAATGGGAAATATGATCACATTTTGCTAATTGATCCTGGAGTTAACTCCTTAACTGTTTCAGAGATTCCTACAATGATAGACAAAACAGCAGTGCACTTTTATGAAACCTTTAAATTTGTTCTACCATTTTAAAGCTGTCATGTGAGTAAGTTGGATCAAATCAAAGTGAGACTGGCTGAGGAGGGAGTCATGGGCTCTGGGTAGCCATGACCTTTTGCGATTGCTAGAGGGCATTATTAAGAACTGATCGAAAGTCGGGGGAGGTGTAGCAGTGCCTATCATCCTAGTGTTTGGAGGTGAAGCTAGGAAGACCAGGAGTTCAGGGTCACCTTTGGATGCCTAGTGAGTTTGAGGTCAGCCTGGGCTGCAATAAACCCTGTTTCAAACCGGGGGTATGACTCAGTAGTAGATTGTTCGCCTAACACAAGTAAGCCCCTAGGTTTGATTTCTAGTGCCGCAAAATAAAAGCCCAGAAGAATTAAGAAGGAACATCCTGTGTTCTATTGAATATTTGTAGAGGCAGGAGGTGGGTTAAAGTCAGCTTCCAGGGCACAGTTTGATCTATTCAACACACCTTGTAACTTGCTACATTTTGTTTATTTGAGACAGTGGTTTTATTTGGTTTGGTTTTGAGACAAGATTTCACTATGCAGCCCAGGCTGGCCTGGAACTCATAATCCTTCCCCCTCGGCTTCTCATTAACCTTGATGCTTTTGTCAACAGTGATTACCTTCTGCTTGGGACATTCATCCGTGGTCTCTGTTTCTGTGAGGTGACACTGTCTTCTGGTTCTGTGAACCCTGACCATCTTTGCATTGGTCTCTCTCTTTTTAAAGACTTACTTTTATTTATGTCAATATGTCTGCATGGTAGCATACACTCACTCCATTCATACAGGTGCCAAGGAAGGCACAAGAGGCGACAGGTCCTCTGGAGCCGAAATTACAGGTGAGTGTGGGCTGCCTGGTGTGGCTGCCGGGAAATGAACTCGGGTCCTCTGGAAGAGCAGCAAGTGCCTTCAACCACTGAGGCATCTCCCCAGCCCTGTCTATACTGCTCTTTAGCTAGCTCTTCTTGCGTAGTGTTTTCCCTATGTAGGCTCCAAGCTTTCGTCTACAATTCTTGAGTCTTCCCCATGGTGGATTAGCTTTGACCTCTGTGTTGAGATTCTTGAGTCAGTGTTTCATTTTATTTCCCCTTGAGCCCCTTTCCTTTCTCAAAACATATATAGTGCTATAAGGCAAATACCTTTTTGAGACAAGGTCTCATCCTGAAGCCTAGGTTGGCCTGTATTATGTAGCCCGTATTGGTCCCATACTGCAGCAATCCTCTGGTCTCAGCCTCTAGAGTGTCCCTGCACCCAGCTTGATTCATTAAGTAGTGTTTGAATATTCAGTTCCTGTGTATGTTACAGTAAGGCATTTGGAGTGTCAGTGAAAGAACAAATTAATGACTAATGATGCGTCTATTAAATTCATGAATTACCATGGGGAGGAAAAAGTTGATACACATTGAGGAGCAATGGCTCTTTTCTCCACTAAGAGAGTAGTCACAAATTAAATGTTATCCAGTCATTATTAGCAAAGGACACTGGTGATGGTTGTACTTCCAGTTAATGGAAACTCCTCAGTCACAACAGATTGGTCAGCCCTACATAAGACAGACAGCTAAGAGGGTAGAATGGGGCAGGGGAGTCAGATATGCCCTCTAGCCTCACCTTTAGCAGAAAGACACACAGAGGTTTGGATGTTGACAGTTGCTGCAATCATTACTGGAAGAACTCAAGATTCACTAGGTGTGACTCAGGGCATTCATGAACACTATGGACATTTCCATTGCTATGACTTTATTTTAGGATCCCACTGACTTCTTCTTACTTCTCAAGCTATGTGATGATGCTGAGATTTGGGACGGGGGCTCTCAGCCTGGGGGTCCTTGTGTCTCTGGTCCCAAGCTGCTTCCGCTGTGTGTATTTATGCCTCACCTGTGGGTATGTTTTGTCATTCAAATTGTGACTTCTCATAATCTGGACGATAACTTAAGGACCTCCAGTAGCACCCTAACTGGCTTTTCTTCTTCCAGTGTCTTCCTACTGCACTTTCCTATTGCTACTTAAGGGATCTTTCTAAAGCACAACTCTTACTATAACTGAGCCTTGTCAATAGCGATGAAACCCAGCTACCTTACAAGAGCGTTCAAGACCCTTTGGGATTTGGACCTATCCTATATCTTCAACCACGTGTGTCTCATCTTGGTTTATGTTCTTTCCTCATGTCACCACTCCTCGCCTTGTGTTCAAACAATGGCATATACTTTATTTTTTATTAATTTATTATTAATTATATATATTAACTTATTTGCCAAGCTAGTTCATCCCTTCCACACTTCAGCCTGTGTTGCTCCCTCTAGCTAAAATATGCATGTGTTCCATCAAGCCCACCCAGCCAGCTGACACAGTATGAGCCCCTCCTGAAGAGCCAGCTCATCTGACAGCTGTAGTCACTCATTCCAGAACACCACAACCAGGTCCTTGCCTTTGTGGAGCTCACAATGTAGCCGGCAATAAGTCATGCACCGGATAATCTTAGAACCAAATGTGGTCATAAGGTGTGATAAGATGTACGGAGGGAAATTACAGAGTTGCCGGAACGTAGACTGTCCGGGAGCAGTGTGTGCATGGGCATGAACATGTGCGCATGTGACATTCGGTCTCAGAAGCCAGAAGAAGCTCCTTTGTGGCCATGGCATTGGCTGACAAATTGAATACAGGACTATTTGCCCACTGCCCAGGCGGAGTGGCTGACTGATGGATGGACAGATTGATGGGCTGGCTGCTTGCGGAGCAGTCTGACTCACTTGAACCCTGGCTGACAAACGGGCTGCAGGGCAGCCAGCATGCCAGATAGTCTCACACTTGGATTGTTTAGCTAACTGACTGGCTGCTGGTCTGACCACAGACAGAATTACTGACTGGAGTCTGACTGACTGACTGGCTTAACTGATGTCACATCAGTTTCCCTGTACACCCATGTAGTCCAATATCATCAATAAAACAGTAAGAAGGCCAAGTCCTGTGAAGTCCTGAGAAGGCTAAGCACATCAAGAGGTGGCTCAGGATAGACAGCACAGACCATCACATTAGTAGCCTTTCGAGGTAGCCAACTGGGCCCCAACATAGGCTAAGCATGGCTTGTGGAAGGAACACAGATGAGCTTTTTGCCTACAGGGGTGCAAATCAAATTAAGGGAAGGTGAAAAGAGGTTGGATACGTTTCTTATAAAAGTTCAAAAGCGCCCATTTACCTTAAATAGGATTTTAATGATCATGATGCCTCATGTAACACTTGCCCATACAGAAAACACTAAAGCAATAAAGCTCAAGGAGAAGAACGGGAAGCATGCTGGGCCAGAGATCCCACGGGACATTCCCTTGATGGTTCCTTTCCAACCTTATGAGCTTCTGTAGCAGCGGAGTAGGGTAATGGCCCTGCGGTGTCTGTTTCAGTCTGTTGTCTCTTGAAGAACAATATGTGAACACTGCCTCATGTTCTCTCTACTATGAACACGGAAGCTGAGTGAAAACTGTAACTAAATACACCCAGGCCATCTTCAAGTGGGAAATAAGATAAGGAGAATGGAGTTTAAAGCACGAGCCAGGCAGGAGAAGCTACAGCAGGGATTAATTTGACATGCTCCAGCTGTATCTCCTTCCTGGGATGCTCTGGTATAGAGCTGGCTCACTCCAGCATCTCTGGCAAGAGAAAAAGGATGGGAAGCATCCCGGAGAGGCAAG